ATTCTTTATCATCGGCTAATAACCTCAATGCTTCGCAAGCTTCTTGGAATGAGTTATGTATAACATTGTTAATTGTCCCCAAACTCTGATAGCTTTTACATCCTTGTTGAAGGAAAACATGCTATTGTATTTTTTTTATATTTTTCATGAAATGAGAACTCCTCGAATCAATGTCATGAAATAAATTATACAGCAAGTCTGGGTTTTTTTTAGAAGTGGTAGTTGAACTTTTCCTTTCATGCAACAAATGGAGAACTCTGGGTGGTTTGAATCTCTATATTTTTTGGCTCTTTCTTCATACCACAACAAAGTTCCACAAAATTCACATGCAAATCAGGGATCCCCAAAATCAATTATTTCTACAGGAAAAATAAAATATGATATAACTAATATTTTTCCATACGTTGCACATATTACATAACTTACACACCGTACATATAATCAAAACATACCTTTAATTTCAGCTCCTCCAAATATAGGATTATTTAAAAATGAATCCCTTGTGCTTCTTGAACAAAGGAATTTTCTACCTCCACATCGAGAATTGAAATATATTGAGTGTATCCAGAATATGAATTATGTACTATTTGCTAGATGGTTTGCAATATAAATGGTTTAAACACATTTACCATCAAAACTAATATTACCTTCATAAAAATTTAACGCACTTGTTACAAAAGATATATCATCCCATTCTTCTTTGTCTCTTTTGCACATGCAACTGTGTTGAGATAGATGAATAATTATTCCCTGATTGAAGCATTGTACAGATAAAATTTTAAAATTGTTAAAATTACGTTTTGTGATGTTTTACTTCATAAGTAACCCTTCCACAGATTAAAAAATAGATTAATTCAATATTTTATTCAAAATTTATAAATACCATTTGTCACATCACAAATTACATTCCTTCTTGTGTATGGTTGACAGTGCGGCGTTGCACGTGACGACAATGTCTCTCCATTTGTACTTGTAAATCCCATCATAGAGAAATTGTAAATACGAACCATAAATTTTTTTCCTCTATTCACATAAAAGATCACCACATAACAAATATTATAAGGTATTCCAAACCAAAGTCTAAATTGATGTTAAATTTAGATTATTTTAAAGGTGTTGACTATAGTTATGATCAATCAATTTTTTTCACTATTCACATAAAACATCACCACATAACAATACAAAGAGTTTCCTTTTCTAAAGGTAAATATTGGGTTTTTGTTTTTAATGAATATATTTTAATTTACTCATCATCGTGAATTAATTTTTTTAATGAAGATATATTTTCACCTGTCTTTTTTGCAAAATGCAATGTAGAAACAATAAATATGAGAAATATCTGCACTAAATAGCACTAAAACATGAGTCATTTCCCAGTATAAGACTTAAACTTTTTATCCCTTAAATAACACTTAATAATATCTAGAAGGAGAAATAATATCCTGTGATGGTTAACATTTATTTTAATAATGACTAATGGATAATGAGCAAAAGTGCTACATCGGAAAATAAAAAAACATATGTTGCTATTTAGCGAAAGTAATTATGTTTTTTCCACTCTTTAAGTTTTATATAGCTTCTTCTAATTCTTTTCAATAATGTTTAAAAAATTATTTGCATGCATTTTTTGTATTATTATTATTATTATTATTATTATTATTATTATTATTATTACAACTACTATTATAGAAACGATTCTTGAGCCACTTGCTCTGGGGTGGGGGTTTACCGGGGTGTCTAGGGTAGGAACCATTAATTTTGCAAACGATGCACACTAGATACTTCTATTAAAGCTAGTGTCATTTGGAACCACCTAAAGTGATTGGATATTTTACAAAATTAATTTTTTTTACATGCAAATGCATAGACAACGAATAAACAATAAAACTTTTTATCCAAATTTATAAAAATAAAAATGTTTTACTTTAGATGGAGAAAGTATATGCTTTTTTAATTTTGATTTTTTATTTCAAATACAAACCAGTTTGAATTTTAAAATATTATAAAGAACAATTATATATGAAAAAAGCTAAAAAAAAATGATAATATGCATTGATGCCCATCAGCTCATGTTGATTGGAATGTGTATCAATGCCCCCTTTTTAGTAAAAAAAAATGAATGGAAAATAGTAGGAACTGATGTGGTGTGTGTAACCTTTTGAAATAATAGACATTTCTTTTAATAAGTTTTGAAAATAAATGAGGCATTCATACCTTTTTTCAAAACATTTAGAGCGCTGGAACTATTTTAATATATTATATTCAAAAATATATGTTGTCATTCGACATTTGAATATATAAACATATGAATATCAAGATTATATTTTTTCACTGATCTATTTTTACTATTATATATTTTCTCTATGAAAATTATGTTCCAATAAAGAAAAATAAAAGCTCAGAAAGTCCTACTAATAAAGAGGATGAAAACAATTCTTTTTAAAATTTATATTTTATTTATGAAAATACTTTCATTTAAAAGAAAAAGTTTTATCATTTATAAACACTGTCTACATCATAAATAAATACTTTTAAAGACTATCAATACTGTGATGTAAATATATATAATATCTCAAACAAAATTTAAATCTTTATAGATTTTTTATACTCCCTATTATATATTTAAGGAAATTTTAATTAATAAAAAAGTTATTGAATACATTAAACCACAAATTCTCATATTAAAAATTATCTAATATCCACAAACCCACAATGCAGAAAATTTATTTAATAAATTTCTCATCTTTAATTAGTGGTATAAGATGAGCTACTCCAAAGTATATTTTAGCCTAATAAGTTTTCATGCAAAAGAATAAATTAATAATTTTTAAAAAACTATATTCTACTCAAAAGATTTTTAATATGATTTTTATTTTTATGAAAAAAGACCCAGGCTAATCATGATTAGTTTCTTTTTTATGATTAATTTATTTACTTTTTGTTGAAAAATTACATTTATTTCATTTGCAGAATTTTTAATAAATTAAAGAGTCCATTTTTTCAATATAAAATATAATTTTTAAACTCATAATATTTTAAAGGTTCTCATAAATAAATTTTCATAAATGATGAATGAGAATTTAAAGCATATCATAAAATTTACGGAAGTGCCATGTCATTAAAAATTGTTAGGTAAGATGACACATGTCAACTTCTTGGAGACATGAGTCTCAAATACAGAGTATTATAGATTATAGATAGTAAAGGATTACGTGGCGCTGACATGTTAAAATTTTGCCAAATAGACATGCCAAATGTCGAATTCTCGTGAATCGGAGTCTTTTTTATTATAGTAAAGGATTGAACTGAGGGTAAAATGAAATAAAATTTTGTTTTTTTTCATTTACTCAAAGATTGGTATAAAATTAAAATCTATATAATTTAAAAATTAGGTCAAATTTTTTTTCAAAATTAGAAGAGATAAAAGTATTTTATTGTATCTGATGAAAACATATAAATAATAAAATTCAAATGCCTCCCTTGGAGGGGCTAGGTAAAATTAGTAATAAAAAGAATTAGAGGCCGGGAGTAATGGAATTACTTTAATACCTAAATTGTGACATTCTTTTTAAAAAGTTTCTCTAATAAAAACATATATGGCCCCTTAAAAAACATATGGCCAGATTATCATTCAAAGAAAATGATGGCCTACAAGAGTTGGGGTGGGTTTTAGGGGCCTACGTACTACGTAGTAATCACTTCAAAAATCTTACAAAGAATGTACTTTTGGGGTGAGAATAGACTTTAGTGTGAGAATGGTGCATTTTGGAGCTATTGCGATACATTTTGTGTTTGTACTTTGTAGTAGTACATTTTTGGCATTGGCAGAAAAGTTTGATTTATTTACAAAATTACCACTGCAATTTTTTTTATTTTTTTCCAAATTTTTGATTTTCAGTAACTCTTAGATCTTAAATCTAATGAATCCCGTGCACTATCATTTCTTTCACTACACATCATTTCCATTTGAACTAAATTCTCTTAGAATACCCAAATAAACGCAACATCATACATTTAGCCATAATCTCCACCAACTAATTAAGAGTCTCTCCTTCGAGATGTCTTGAGCTCGAGTCATCACAGAGAAGAGATGAAAGATTTTTCCATCAACAAACCTCTAGCTCCTTGGATTAGCTCTTTAGTCGGGCCAATTGTGGATGTCTAATTTCCACCAGTAGTGTTGGAGCTTAAATCCATTGAAAACTTGAGGTGAATTTAATGGGAAGGTAACTTAGAACATGATGATGAGATTAACTAGCGAAACCAATCAACACTGGTGAATCAACATGAATTCTTTTTTATAGAAGTGTACATGCTACATTGCTAAGTAGAAACTTGAGGGACAAAAGAGTACATATTTACTTCCTATAGAGTTTTTGGGGTAAGGTCTTTGAAATTTAGGAATAATCTGACGGACGTCCAAAATCATAATGTATTAAAAGCATAAAAAAAGAGTAATATTAAAAATAGTCTATTTTAAGAGGTATTTTTCCAAATTAGTCTTAAATAAATTTTAATTACCTACATGACACTTTATAATTAAGATTTATTTTCTAACTAGTCCTCCGTAAAACATGTCACTTAAATGTTGATTAAGTTTATGATACTTAAGTTTATTTTATTTTTTAATGAAATATTATAGAAGTGACCATTTTTGAAATTCACCTTAAGTTTAGATAATAGTAATACAAAAATACACTCCAATTAATCGCCATTTAAGTGACATTTTTTAAGAATGACTATTTATGGAATAAATTTTTAGTTATAAAGTATGATATAGATAGTTAAAACTTATTTGAGAATTAATTTGAAAAACTACATATTATTACTCGGAATTTACTCTAAAAAAAAGTTAAAAACTAATCATTATAAACCAACCAACAGTCGGGGAAAAATGTCAAACAATCCTTTTTGGCTTTTATGGTTTTAGACTTTTTTGCCTTGATGAGTTGGCTGGAAGTAGTGAAATAGCTTTTCGTGAAGACAAACTCTTAGATCAGATAAAATGGCAACCTTTTCATTTTATTCTATTTTTTACCAGTGTTCACACCTCTGTTTTCTAAATATTATACATGTACTCCGTATAAAGTTAAATATTTTTCACCCCAACCATTCTAGAAATTAAAACACTTCTTCTTCTTGGATCAAACAAAAGAGCTTTGAAGAAGAAAAAAAAACTGATCAAATTCATGGGGTCTTGCATGAGTACAAGAATTAAAGCAGAGAGCCCTATTCATTCTGGTAATATGATTTTCTTACGACTATTTTCTTCTTATAATTTTCTTTTTTTCTAGTTTTTACTTTAGGCTGTGTTTGTTTCAGGGGCAGATGTTTTGAGCGGTAAGAATGAGGGCCATATTCCGGAGTCATCAAATCTAAAGGCTTTCAGTTATAACGAACTCCGCCTCGCCACCAGAAACTTCCGGCCCGACAGTATGCTGGGCGAAGGCGGGTTCGGTTCGGTGTTCAAGGGATGGATTGACAAGAACACGTTCAAGGCAACCAAGCCCGGAACCGGTTTGGTCATTGCGGTGAAACGGCTCAACCAAGAAAGCTCCCAAGGCCACAAAGAATGGCTCGTAAGTTCGAATCTCACTCTTGCCTTTTTTTTTAAAAAAAAATAACGTTTACGTGCAATACAACATTTTTTCTGGGTTAGAATGCTCTTGGTTGAATTGGTTACTTGACATTTATATGTTAAAGTTGATTGATTTTTTTTATGTATTGAACAGACAGAGATAAATTATCTGGGTCAATTAAGTCATACCAATCTAGTGAAACTGATAGGTTATTGTGTGGAGGATGAACATAGACTTTTGGTGTATGAATTCATGCCTAGGGGCAGTTTGGAGAATCATCTATTCAGAAGTGAGTTCTTGGTTTCTTTGTAATCCATATATACCCTTGTTTGGTAATTTCAACATTGATCTTACTTATTGATAGCAAGTACAATTGGTGGAACAGGGAGCTCTTACTTTCAACCAATAACTTGGAGTCTAAGGATGAAAGTTGCTCTTGGTGCAGCCAAGGGACTTGCTTATCTTCATAGCCCCGAAGCCAAAGTCATCTATCGCGATTTCAAATCGTCTAACGTTTTGATCGACTTCGTATGCATCTTTCTTTAATACCTTTATACGGAGTATTTCACTTCTCATTAAGAACATATCAATCCAACCAAAAATTCAAACTTGTGGTTGAAGGTTAAAGAACAATTTTATTACTCTGGGACGATTCTCTGACATTCTTGTTTACCCTTTTTTTTGTCAGAACTACAATGCAAAACTTTCGGATTTCGGATTGGCAAAGGATGGGCCGGTAGATGGGAAAACTCACGTCTCCACGCGAGTGATGGGTACATACGGCTACGCAGCGCCTGAGTATGTGTCCACGGGTCATTTGACTGCGAAGAGCGATGTGTACAGTTTTGGGGTCGTGCTTCTGGAAATGCTGACGGGGCGTCGAGTTTTGGACAGAAACAGACCTAGCTCAGAAGAGAACCTCATCGAGTGGGCTAAGCCTTACCTAGCCAACAAGAGGAAAGTCCTACAAGTTGTGGATCCCCAAATCCAAGGGCAATACTCGACGATGGTGGCTCTAAGGATAGCCCTCCTTTCGGTGAGATGTCTTACCCATGACCCCAACTTGAGGCCCGACATGGATGAGGTGGTTCATGAGTTGGAACAGCTGCAAGAGGCCAATGCAGAGTAAGAGTGTCTTTCTAGAGGGAATAATGGGACACCTTTGTGCTTATGATTGTTGCTTGAATGCTAGTGAAGAAAAATAAGTACAATTATGCAACATACTGTGTTTCAAACAGAATATATACTCCGTAAATGTTGTACAGTTGGGTAACTTTCTTCTATATTTTGTGAAATGATGGAACAATTTAAGAATGTTGGATGGGTTATGCCCAAAAGTGTAGTGAGTTAGGTTCAATATTCTCAGGCTGTTTTGAAAAGTGAAGAGCGTGATAAATTTTAAAGAAATGGTGTCCATTGACTTTTCAACGAGCTTATTAATAGTTTCACGAACAATGTGAGTACCCTTTAAGTACTCTCAAAAACACCCACTCGAGAAGAACGAGTATATTATTCATCAACATAAAAAGAACAATCAAGTACAGTACTCATCAACATAAACAAAGAGAAAATTACAAAGTACAGTACTCATCAACATAAACAAAGAGAAAATTACAAATTTCGTACAATCGAGCACACCATTTCACACACTTGCGTGGTATAATCAAAGTTTCAAAAAATGAAAACTATGAATTCAACTGTTGTATAAATAAGGAAAGACAAACAAACAATAATCTATATATACTCTCTTCACAGTATTTCCCATTTACAAAGGCAACCCCACAAAGAAAGTTTGTCATCATCCTCTCATCTAATGTATGTTCTTCCCAGAGACCACATTCCTGTCTCTTTGACTGGTGCCTGTAAATGAACCCAAACACATGATACACACACACACAACTCGTTAAGAATAAATTTCATTGGAATGATTTGACTAATCCCATAAACATCTGATACAATAACCGCACTCACAGGTGTTTTTACAGAAGGGAAGACATTCCAAAATCTGAGAGTCTCGTCTCCGGCTCCGGTCACAATTGTCTGAATTTGTTTATATATAATGAAATTCTCCATTAGAAGAGAGATTGCATATACAGAATGATGACGATGATCATGTAATTGTGAAATGTGTATAGTTTATTTATATCAGCTAAGAACTTATGAAGTTAGTGTATACCTGACCATCCGGGGACATTGCAAGATAAAGTACCCGCATGCTATGCCCGGTTAGAGTTGCCACCTATCAAGATGAGTTTGGCTTGTTAGTCTCTTTTTTGTTGGAAAATCACATGAATAGTGTTTGGGCAAAAAATGTTTGAAAATATTGAACTTGTTGATTTAGGACCTTTGACATTGAAGGATACTTCCAAACCATCACTTGGTTTTGTGAGTACCCATGAGTGCTAACAATTTCATTAACATTTTTGCTCCAAGCCAGATTGCAAACCTACAAAAGGACATACAAAACAATAGAAGGTTTATATTTACATCTCACCCAAAGATAGGAGATTACATTTGTTGTCTCAATGAAGAGCCTGTTTTTTCGGAATGGGTATTTGTTTTTCGAACCTGACTTCCCGTATCAATGCTGTTGAGTTGATTGCCGTTACCAGTGTTCCAGAAGCGAATGCAGCGGTCGGCGGTTCCTCCTCCAGAGGCAAGAAGGCCAGCTTGGTGGGGAGACCAGGTGATGGCTTTCACAGCGGCAGTGTGTTCTGTTAGTCTCAATGTTGGCTGCTGGGAGTGCAGATTCCACACCAAGAGCTGGTTTTGAACAACATTACAAATGAAGAATCATTATTCAACACTTATCGGTGTTATTAACCAAGCCCAGTGCTAAAATATTATAGTCCCATGAGTTTCTACCTGATTGTCATTGCCACCGGATGCCAGTTCTCTGTCGTCGTGAGACCACTTCAGCCCACACACCTGACCATTCAAAACAACTCTTCTCATCAATTCATCTCTGAAACCCAAACTCCCAAGCCATATATGATATATCCAAAGAGAAAAAACAATGTAGGCAGGCTCCAATGGATTGCTGTAAAGTCTACCTCGGACTTATGACCACCTAGCTTGCTCACAAAGTCATTTGGGTTGCGGAGATCGTGTTGAAGGATATTCCGGTCTCTACTTCCAGAAGACAAAATGCGAGAACTCCACGCCAGAACGCCTGTTCTTGTTTGATGCCCACTGAATGTTCTAACCTTCTTGCATTTAGTCCCATCCCAAACCTGAAATGCAGAAGAAGAAGAGTATTTGAAGCAAGTGTCCGTTTGCTATGAATTGTGCAAAGTACAGAAGCCATGAAATACCTGAACTTGCCCAAGGCTTGTCCCTATGGATATGTAAGAACCTTCCCGAGTCCACTGCACTGAGCACACACTATCACTAGGTCCCAAGTCACACAACTTTGTCACCTGTGAGAGAGAAAGAGAAACCAAAATTCATAAGAACTAATCTTAGACCCTGTTTGTGAAAAGCGTCAGAGATTAGCGTTAGCGTTTTGGATAAGATCTTAATGTTGCAAGTTACTTTTAAAACACTAATGCTAACGCTAAACGCTGCCCGTATCTTTTCATTCCGTTAGTTCAAAGTATCATACGCCTTAATCTTAGTTAACTCACTTTGCTGTTCGATGCTGTCCATAAATAGACACAGGTACCCAACCCAACTGCAAGAACATTCTGAGATGACCAATCCACCAGATTCAAATAGAAATCATCTTGAAGCGATGGCGCATCCAAAACCTGCAATTTGAAGATCGGTGGGAGAAACGGGATTCAGTGCAATAGACTCATTATTCATCCCTTTGTGATAAATCCAGGTGTAATTCAGTGCTTAAACAGTGCCACTCAAATCAAGGGGAGATGAACAGTGAAACCCTAATTTGTTTAACCACAATTGATTGATACCTTGTGGGGAGTTTTGGGGACCTTCCTGGGAGGCTTGGGAGGAGTTGAAACCTCGTCGGAGACGCCACTGCCAGTCCCCAAAATCGAAGGCGAGTAGGGCGAATTCGCGCCGGAATGATCAGTCTTGAACTTGAGAATGTTCGGGCTCGGACTCATCGGCGACCCTGCAGGAGAAGAAAAACAGCCAAAATCAGGCCCGAAGAGTTCGGATCTCAATAACCTAATGTACGCCTCGCTCCCTCCTCCCTCCTTCCCCGGAGACGCCGTCTCGACCAGACCGAACGCGTGGAGCCTCGACGAGGATCTGCACGGGATGAACCTGTCGCTGCAACTCGCGGATTTCGAGGAGGGCGAGGAGGACAGGTTCGACAGCGTCCGCGGGGACATGGACATCGGAGAGGGAAAGTTCGTTTTGGGAAGAGACGGCGAGCTCCGTGGCGTGGAGAAGGCATCGAGACGAAGAGATGTTTCCTTCATCGAGGACGGGAGATTTATCCCGCTCTTCCTCCTTGGCGGCGTCGAGTCCATTTTCCCCCCCTTTTTTTGTTGTTTATTTTTCTGGATCTTCAAAGGAATTGAGAGATTTTGGGGAAGAAATGGAAGCGCGGAAAATGAGTCTCCGTCCGTGATGGAGGAGCAGGGGCGGCGGAGACGGCAGAGTATATAAACAGAGCGGAGACTAGTGGTAACGGCTAGCTTTGGGTGATTGGGTTTGATGATATAGCTGTTGTAACGGTCATATTCCATTCGTCAAGACTATTTTAGGAAAAGAAATCGCCCCTCAAAAACATTAGTCATATTTTTTTTTGGGAATTTACTAAATAATATTAAAACATATAGATTTTTCCAATGTAGTATCATATATTTTTATTTTTAATATAATATCACTAGTCATTATCTATTAGTCATTGTTCAGGTAAAAATTCATCGTCATTGGACATTATTCAAGTATTATTAAGATAATAAAAACTTTTAAGTAATACGTTTGAAAATGAAAAATATTTTAGTACTACTTAGTTCAAATTTCACTATTTTTTATACTCTCTCCGTCCTAAAACTTTCTTCCCACTTCCTCTTTTTCTCCGTCCTAAAACTATCTTCCCATTAGAAAAAAAAGATGACAAATGACATTAATACCCTCATTTATTTACACAAATTATCTTCTAACTCTATATTTTGAATGATTGCAAAAAAAATAAAAAAATCTTTTTTAAGGAGGGTAAAATTTGAAGCCAAAACCAAAAATTTAAAATGGAGAAAAGTCAAACTGGAAAGAAAGAATTAGGACGGAGGAAGTATATGAGTTGTATATTTCTGTTTTGAAATAGAAATTTATACTTTGACGATGTAGCACTGTTTTGGAAATCTTTTTTGTGCATTCTCCATGTTTTATACTTTTTAGAAGACAAAATTATCTCAAATAATTTCACATTATCTTAATTGCCACAAAATATAATCACACTTTTCTCTTTTTGTCTTTTTAATTTCTAACCTTAAATTAAAATGTGTTTTTTTAAAATTTTTTTAAATTATACCAAAATTAAGTGTTTTATTAGAAAGAACTGCTCACTCAGCTCCATCATAAAATGATCTTCCAAATCATTATTCAAACGGTCAAATGTTAATTACTTTTTTTAACCTATTTTCGTTAGTTATTTGATAAAATAATAAAGTCATGTCATCTCTTATTTTGTAGATTTTTTTTGTTTAAAATATATAATTTTTATTTTTTTAATTTATATCTATAATCGAATAAATTGAATTGAAAATAATTTCAGTTAAGTTCATAAACTGAACTGAGAAGATCATTTTAGGATGGGGGAAGTAATTATTTTTTTCAATAATCGATACTCTGATAATAAATTTTTTTTCCAAAAAAATATCTCAAAAGTTGTAAAATTATACAATAAATTATTCTACACAATAAAACTTATATATTACGGAGTACTTCATAACTCACTACATTTTATGTAAGTTGCAATTATTTTCTTGAGAGACACTTTGAATTATTTTTTGATACTATATTACTACGTATTATCTTTTAAAAAATGGCACTACAAAACTTATGAATATTTTTCAATAATTATGTATAAAAGTTTTTGCGAAACAACATTACAACAATTTTCAAAATAATAAAATAGTTTTTTCTCTCAAATGGAACTTTTATTTTTTTAACACGCTACATTTTTCGTGGTATTACAATTTTTTTCATAAACAACACTCCAAAATGTTTATCGACGATCTTCAATTACCCGTATTATTTTTCCTAAAATAACACTACAAAACTTGTATTTTTTTAAAAACTCATTATTTATTTATTTTTCCAAAATAATAATTTAAAAGTTGTGAAAATGACAGAATATTTTTTCTTCAAAACGGAACTAATTTTCATAGAACTTCTTACAATTTTTTTTGTATTGCAATTTCTTTCTCGGATGATACTTTGAATTATTTTTCAATAATCTAATATTACATTTCCCTCTGAACAGAATACAAAATTTGTAAATCATTATACTTTTAAAAAAATTAAGACAAATCTCTAACAAGAGTGCACTTTTATATTTTTATAAACATAAATTTAAAAATAAAAATTAAACAAGAAAATGGTAAATTTGCCTAAAATAATCTCTTTACGAAAAATAGGCATTTTCCAAAATTTCGTGAATTGGATGTTAGTTCCTTAACTGCGACCTAAAGCTCACACACATGCAAAATTTCTAGTGAGTTTCAGTTACATTCTAAAATTAATTTTGACTTTTTGTCAATTTTACAAACGAAACACTGTAACATCTCTTAATCATTCCATAACATGTGATTCCAATGTCATCATAACCATATGATCTTATACTAATGTTATATCAAAATTGTTTGAAGGGGGCCATTAGGATTTTTGGCTTATTGGTTCTCTCTTTTCAACACGCAACTGACTCAATTAGATTTAAATTCGACCCAAACAAAATCAATTTGGGGTTCATCCGAATTGGTTAAGCCATATTTTGGGCCCTCTTTAACGGGTCTATGGACACATCCGATCCAGCGGGCATAGTCCTGGTTGGTTGGGTAAGCTTTTGCATATTTTTGTTGAATTGATCGGGCAAAATGTGACCCAAATGGTAAGAACGAGACTAGTCATATTCTCTTCACATAAATGATTTTATTGCTTTTTTAATAAGAAAAGGAGATTTAAAAGTTTATAATATGTGCATTTTTGAAAATTTGGTATTTTTTTTACTACTCCTTAATAAGCGTGCCAAGTCAACCCGGGAAGAATATTTTTAGACGGTGGGAGTACATCAGATGAACGGTACCCAACATATGTTGATTATTAGATTGCTAAGATACTAAGATTCATTCTAGTAATACGTGATAACAACCAATTGAATTACCCACGCCTCACACTTTATAATTACTTTTGTCTAAAACAAAAGGTTGAACCTCAACATCCACCATGCTACCAATCTCTTAGTCTGAATAGTAAGTTATAAGGAGGTCTGTGAATGAAGTTATAATCTCAAAATACATACAACCACTGTTCTAGAAAATTTGTTAAGTTTTAACTTTTTTGAGTCAATCATTTTCAACTTTTGACTTATAATTAAATAAAATATGTATTGTATACTTCCTCCGTCCCTAAATAGATTACAAATTGCATATTACGAAGAAAAAATTTCCTACTTTTTGAAATCATTTTATTTATAAATTGGTATATCAATAAGATATACTCCGTAAAATTTACATATTAAAAATCTACGCCAAAAGTTCTACATATTAAAAATCTACGCCAAAAGTTCTACAAAACAAGAGGTGACAAGAATATTTTATTGAAATATTTGCACTAAATAGCACTAAAACTTAAGTCATTTCCCCAAATAACATTTAAACAGTTTCATTCGCTAAATAGCACTTAATAATGTCCAGTGATGACGAATATTAATTGAATAATGACTAATGCATAATGACTAAAAATGCTACATTGGGAAGAAAAACACATGTGGTACTATTCAGAGAAAGTCATTATGTTTTAGTGATATTTAAATAAATTGCTCTATTTTATTTTATCAAATACTTAATGAAATCGCGTAAACAAAAAAAAGTTATCGAGAGGGGAGAGAAAAAAAAATTATAATCTATTTAGGGACGGAGGGAGTATTTACTAGACAAAATAATATTTTGAAAATATTTAATATAATAAATCTAATAATAAAACAGTTTTTGTATCAATATCTAATATCATTTTTATTTAATTTAGGTCAAAATTCACCGAAAAAAATCAAAAGTAGACAAGGTATATATAGACCTGGCAAAAAGTGACACGACATGTTTTTGACCCGAAACCCGATCTGAAAACGCTGGGTTTTGAACAAAGGTTTTGATGACCGAACCCGAAATGACCCGCTAAAAATGGGTCAAACCCGACCGAACCCGAACCCGACCTGACCGACCCGCTAAAGTAAGAATTTTTCAAAATTGTAAACTTTTTTACTCGTTTTTAGTGTATAAATTTATATTTTCAGACAAAATTTTAATGATATTGCATAATTATCTTACTTTTTCCCCAAAACATAAGCATTTTTAAATTCCTTATATTGATTTTTATATCTAAATACTACTTTAGAGTTTACAATAAAATAATTTTATAGATTTAATACTTTTTTTGATATTTTAAATTTATTAATGTGAATTTAAAAATTTAAATAACCAAAGTCATAACCCGTTGGGTCGACCCGAACCCGATGACNTTTTCAGACAAAATTTTAATGATATTGCATAATTATCTTACTTTTTCCCCAAAACATAAGCATTTTTAAATTCCTTATATTGATTTTTATATCTAAATACTACTTTAGAGTTTACAATAAAATAATTTTATAGATTTAATACTTTTTTTGATATTTTAAATTTATTAATGTGAATTTAAAAATTTAAATAACCAAAGTCATAACCCGTTGGGTCGACCCGAACCCGATGACACTGGGTTATGAACATAGAGTTCTCAACCCGAACTCAAATTGACCCGAACCCGAAATAACCCGAACTTGAAGTGACCGAACCCGAACCCGACCTGATCGACCGATTTGCCAGCTCTAGGTATATATATAGTTAAAGAAAATTGCAACTCATCATTATATTATTCTCATTTGGGACACCAATCACCCTCACTTGATTCACTAAATCGACACATTTATATATATATATATATATATATATATATATATATATATATATATATATATATATATATATATATATATATATATATATATATATATATATATATATTCGGCTAATACAATTTGAAAGAATGTGGATGGATCAACGACCTAACACGGCCTTAACCACTCATTATTATGTCGTCGGGATTAATCTCCAACGGAACTATATATGCATGTGCTCCAAAACTCCAAACTATGCCAAACTCCCACCAACAGCTCAACAACAGACTGGATTTTATTAGAGTTGATGCATGGATATGATGGATTTGATTTCACCAAGCTAAGTCATCCCTACCAACTTGTTCCTTATTACCTTTATGTACTCCCTCCGTCCCATGAAATATGGGACTTTCGCTTTTTAGGAGGGATTTAAGGGGAGTATATTTTGGTATTGAACTTCCAAAAATATCCTTTGATGTGATGGGTGAAAGTATGATTTGATGGATAGATTATTAGTAAAAAGGTATGATGTGA